GCCTCCCGGGTTCAGGCAATTCTCCTGCCTCAGCCTCCTGCGTAGCCGGGATTACAGGCACGCGCCACCATGCCCAGCTAATTTTTTGTAGTTTTAGTGGAGACAGCGTTTCACCACATTGACCAGGATGGTCTCGATCTCTTGACCTCGTGATCCACCCGCCTCGGCCTCCCAAAGTGCTGGGATTACAGGCGTGAGCCACCGCGCCCGGCCGGAAGTTTTTATAATGAAAAGTTAAAGACAACTCATCAAGATCTTTAGTAAAATCAAAGTTTATAAAGCAGTTGTGTCTTGCCTAATAGATACCTACCTTCAAAGAGTCATTCTTATGACAAAGAGTCATCTATACTAATCTCACGAGGTAGAATATTAAATGGCAGTAACTTCTTATCTAGAAATTTTTTATTCTTCACTGTGATTAAAAAGCAATCAGGCTGGGTGTGGTAGCTCACACTTGTAATCCCAGCTCTTTGGGAGGCTAAGGCAGGAGGATCACTTGAGCCTAGGAGTTTGAGACCAGCCTTGGCAGTTTAGTGAGACCTCATCTCTACAGAAAATAAAAAAAAATTTAAATAAAAAACACAATAGTTGGGCCTGGTGGCACGTGCCTATAGTCCCAGCTGTGGGATTGGGTAGGGGGCCCAAAGTGGGAGTATCACTTGAGTTGGGGAGTTCAGTAAGCTGAGGTCATGCCACTGTACTCAGAATGGTGACAGTTAGACCCTGTCTCAAAAAAAAAAAAAAAAAAGAAAAAAAAGCAATAGGACAGGTTTTAAAAATTACATAAATATCTGTAGACTGAAGTCTACTATTATGTCTCTTATGCCTCTTTTTAGTATTAGTATATTTAATAGAAGATTTCTTGAATTCCTGAAACTTCCTCCATAGAATGTTTTAGTATTTCAGTTTGCTTTGGGCATTTACCTCTTCTTTTGCACAATAAACCTCTATTTTTGCATTAATAAGGGGGCATGTGGGCCGGGTGCAGTGGCTCACGCCTGTAATTCCAGCACTTTGGGAGGCCGAGGCAGGTGGATCATGAGGTCAGGAGTTCAAGACCAGCCTGGCCAATATAGTGAAACCCTGTCTCTATTAAAAATATAAAAATTAGCCAGGCATGGTGTTACGCACTTGTAGTCCCAGCTCCTGGCCAGGCTGAGGCAGAAGAATCACTTGAACCCTGGAGGTGGAGACTGCAGGGAGCCAGGAACGTGCCACTGCACTCCAGCCTTGGAGACAGAGTGAGACTCCATATCAAAAAAAAAAAAGGAGGGGGCATGTATGTGAAAGAATTTTATATGGTGATTCAAAGGTTCTTTTATGCCAATCTGTTGTTGCTTGTTTGCTTTCTGCAAGTCTCTTTTGTTTTTGTTTTTTTGAGATGGAGTTTCCCTCTTCTTGCCTAGGCTGGAGTGCAATGGCATGATATCAGCTCACTGCAACCTCCACCCGCTGGGTTTAAGTGATTCTTCTGCCTTAGCCTCCTGAGTAGCTGGGATTACAGGCATGCGCCCCCATGCCCAGCTAATTTTTGTAGTTTTATTAGAGATAGGTTTTCTCCATGTTGATCAGGCTGGTCTCGAACTCCTCAACTCAGATGATCTGCCCACCTTGGCCTCCCAAAGTACTGGGATTACAGGCGTGAGCCACTGGGCCTGGTCTCTGCAAGTCTCTTTCTTATAATATTTTCATCAAACCACTGGTACTCTGGACATCTTTAAATGTCTTGTAAAGCCATTGCTAGATTCCCTACTTAACGCTATTTAGTCAGTGCTTTTTATCTTCCTAAGTGAATCACTGTCATAAATAATTTGGGAATGTCTTCTAGGTTTCTGAGACTGCCTGACGAATCTTTGAGTATGTCTTTTGTGTTAAGCATAAGTTCCTGTGCATCAGCTTTTATTCCAGAGCACACACACCTCTGAGACGATAGGTTTGAAAAGCATTTTGTTAACTGTCAAATGCTGTTTAAATGTTACTACACAATAATGTGTAGTAGTCATAGCTATGACTGCCTTTGCTCCTTTGCTTTTATTTGCAGATTTCATGACTATAAAAGTAAAAGCCAGGGCAGTATATATCTAATGGACAAGCAAGGGCTTCACATCTTTCCCTCCATCCCCATAGTTATCATTTAGGAAGTTTACTAATAGCCTTAGGTGATTTTACCTTTTTATATTAATTCAAACATGGTCTGTATCATGCTGTATCACCACAGCATGTCTGGATAGTTTATATTTCTCAATGTTGTTTTTTGTTTGCATTTTTCAAATGAAATACCAAGATGATTGCTGCCTGACGTTCAAGATTTTATTGTTACATGTGTCTTATTTTTTATATATTTTTAAATTTATTGTTGTAAAGACAGGCTTTTGCCCTGTTTCCTAGTCTGGTCTCAAACTCCTGGCCTTAAGCAGTTTCCTTACCTCAGGTTCCCAAGGTGTTGGGATTATAGGCATTAGGCACCATGCCCAGCACATGTACCTTCTTGATTGTTACTCTTTGATTTGAATATTTCTTACAACCTTATTGGACTATAATAGCATTTTGGTTGTCTGGAGTTCTGTATCCTGTCCATATACTTATGAACTTATGTATAGGTCAGATGTATATGTATGTTGAAATTAGCAGAGGTTTGTAAGATTGTGAGAGAGGAACAAAGTTATAGTAGCACATAATTAGCTGCTAATTGCTTTTCTTTTTCTTTTCTTTTTTTTTTTTTTTTTTTTTTTTTTTTTTTTTTTTTTTTTTTTTTTTTTTTTTTTTTTTTTGTTTTTTTTTTTTTTTTTTTTTTTTTTTTTTTTTGAGACAGAGTCTCATTCTATTAGCCAGGCTGGAGTGCAGGTGCAATCTTGGCTCATTGTAACCTCTGCCTCCCAGGTTCAAGCAATTCTCCTGCCTCAGTCTCCCGAGTAGCTGGCATTACAGGCCTGTACCACCATGCCAAGCTAATTTTTCATATTTTTAGCAGAGATGAGGTCTCACCATGTTGGCCAGGCTGGTCTCGAACTCCTGACATCAAGCGATCCACCCACCTTGGCCTCCCAAAGTGCTGGGATTATAGGGGTGAGCCATCACATTCAGCCAGCGAATTGCTTTTCAAGGCCAGTGGTGGTGGTGCTGGTTTCGCTGACAATTCTGTATACTGTATAGATTTCCAGATTGTTTTTCAAAATCTATTTTTAATTTTAGCCTCACACTTCACTAAAAGAACTTAAACTTATTAAAAGAAATAAACCATCAGTACTATTTTAGTATGTCCCTCCTTCTCAGACTTCAGAGCACATTAGAATCACCTGGTTCATGAGGTCTGGGATGGGGCTCAAGATTGCATTTCTAGTACATTTCCATATGATGCTGA